ATATAGATACATATATACACAGTTGTTTATCACTTGTAGACCTTTTTTTTTAACATACAAACTATTAATGGATCAGTTCTTCAGTGTTCCTTGCATGTCTGCTCCTGTCCCTTTGAACCCAAGTGGCAGAAGGCCGCTCACACTGAGCCTGATTCTGCTGGAGGATTCCTCCTGTTAAAATGGAGGTTTTCCTCTCCACTGTTGCTGCATGCATGCTCTGCATGAGGAATTCTTGTAGAGTCAATGAGAAATTGCCGGCAAATATCTACTGTCACCACAAGCTCATCCGGTAGGACCAAACCCTGCGTAGTTAATGACCCGATACAATCGGCTGGCTGTCCTTGCATAGAAAACCTTTAACCAATGTGACTGATTGCAATAAGGGTTCATGTTTACAGTGGTGACCCCAATAGTGTTCCCATTCTTCCCAATAACAATTTACTGGCTAATGTTTATTCACCAGCTCTCGGAGAACTGGCTCCAAGTTCACAGTGAAAAAAAATCTGGAGATGTTTAGATATGAATGTTATGACTGTTTGACACCGTCATCATGCCTTTAGACAGAGTGCTCCAACATGCATTAAAAATACACAATTATTAACTGCATTGTGTGTGAAAGGAGGGTTCTTTGCGGATGTTTTGACACCACTCTTTATTTATGGAGGCAGAATTGTGAGTCCACGCCCTTGGATAAGATGCAATCCCACATGTGGAGCATATCAGGATGCCTCAATGTTGCAATCTTGTTTTTCTTTTATGTACACATAATTTTCTCCAGATGCCTAGTAGGATTTTTAAAGCAAATATCTTAAGGTCAGCTGCACTTCTGCTGAAATTTAGGCTGTAGCTGATGTTTTCATCAGAAAAAAATAATTGTGTCATCTTTGGTGCCTTACTGAAAACATTGGAACTAGATGCTGCTAAACTAACTTGCCCTGGTGTTACCACTGTTCTTTACTGCACTCCTAGGAAAGATGCTATAATGGCTGTTATAATCAATAACTTACTTTTGCATGAGGAGAAATTAGAGTTAAAAACAATTAGATCAGAATCAGATTACACTGGCCCTTCGTTACCCCTTTATTTAAGTTCTTGTTTTTTTTTTCCCCCGAAGCAATATTCTTTAAAGCAATTTCCTCCTGTGCGATGTAATTTTGATACAAAGTGATGACTGCTGCATAACTTTCTGTGGGGTTGACCCTTTGTTAACAAAGAAGAAAATTATAGCAGTTTTCCCATAAGACTGACAGTATGATCTCAGCTGGACTCTTTTAGAGCTTAAAGGAGAAGTTCACTTTTTAACACTTTAAGCCCATTTTCTGTAGTGTCCAGGATGAAATCGAATGATCGACACCAAAATTTTGACAATTGCTCCTGTCTCTGCTTTTTGGCTCATTTAGAATCACCCCCTGGCTGCTTCAGAATGGCTAGCATAGAGCATGTCCGATAATGTCCTTAAAACAACCTTAAACGTTCTTTTTTTAAAATATGCTACTCACCGTGTCGTCAGCGCTGTTCAATGACGTTCCAAAAAAAGTTTCGTAAAGAAAAAACGTTCCTGTAGTGTTTTATTTAGCATTTTGTAAATCCCATTGAGTTCTGTAGGAATAGTCAATATTCCGCTGCCACCGGAAACGGAAATAGGGCCTGTTTACACAGTTGTAGTCTTTTCGCTTCACTCTGTGTACTCCGACGTCGAGAATCAAGAATCCACCTTTCGTATTCCATTTTCAGAGTTTTTTAAAGTGTTTAACAGAGACGTTAGCACCTCGACGTCGGAGTACACAGAGTGAAGCGAAAAAGACTACAACTGTGTAAACAGGCCCCATTTCCGTTTCCGGTGGCAGCGGAATATTGACTATTCCAACAGCACTCAATGGGATTTACAAAATGCTAAATAAAACAAGACAGGAACGTTTTTTCTTTACGAAACTTTTTTTGGAACGTCATTGAACAGCGCTGACGACCCGGTGAGTAGCATGTTTTAAAAAAAGAACGTTTAAGGTTGTTTTAAGGACATTATCGGACATGCTCTATGGAAGCCATTCTAAAGCAGCCAGGGGGGGATTCTGCATGAGCCAAAAAGCAGAGACAGGAGCAATTGTCAAAATTTTGGTGTCGATCATTCGATTTCATCCTGGACACTACAGAAAATGGGCTTAAAGTGTTAAAAAGTGAACTTCTCCTTTAATCAATGCTTATCGT